GGAAAAGTGGCCTGCCTGTGTTTCAGTGTTATTTCTGATTCCCATCATCAGCCAGTCCCAGGGCACGAAATGAAAGCTTAGAGAACTGCTTGGCGCAGACTTTACCTTCACACTCCTAAGACTGTAGACACCAATGGAAACTTGCTCATTTGTCACATGTGCTTCGTGTGTCTGGTATGTCATGGGACAGACAACAGCTTCTAGGCTCTCCCATGGGCACACACAAGTGGGACCCATGCAAAACATTAGCGCCCCCCCACCCCTGCTTCTACATAGTGTATTTATTGCTCTTGAGGAAACTATCAAAGATGTAATTTGAAGCTTAGCAGCAGTCAGAATTTCTAATTTTTTATCTGGTCACTAAAGCTTAGAATCAATTTTCAAGAGGTAAACAGAATAGTGGTAAGATTTTACTGCTTAATACAGGTGCCCAGCAGGTGTTAATGGGTCCAAATAATAGGGTGATGGCATTTCCCTCGGTAGAGAAGTTTCCTTTGGAGCAAGTTTAAATGGGAAAAAGGCTGAGGAAATACCGACTGTCCTTCCTAGAAATTGGATGGGGAATTGAAAGGGGATAAATTCTTGCTCCCTGCCAACTTCACAATGAAATTACTGTTCAGCAAAAATTTTGTTAGTTTTATCTGTATTATTTTTTCTCTCCCAAGGGACTGAAGGTTCTTAATAGGCAAAAAAAATAAATAAATAAATAAAAAGTAAGGAAATGACAATACTGACATTGACAATATGGACCCCTGGGTCTAGAATATGGACAGTAAAGTAACACAGAAAAATGGGGAAGATGAGAATTTCCATAAAGTGTTTCCACATTATCTGAAGAAGAGTGATTGTATCAAAATAATTACTCTGCTAATCACTTCTGATTTTACTGTAAATGGGAGGAAATAGGGATGGGAAGTTAAAGGAGGAGATCGAAGTACTTTGAACTGGCCGATCCAAGAGAGACCCTGATGCTCAACAGAACAAGCTAGTTCCCTGATTAGATGGCGATTGTGATGATCAGGTCACACCATGGAGACCCTCTCTATGGCAGGTTTCTGTATCAAACCAAAATATTTGCTCTCAGGTCTTTTCCAAATGGATAGAAAACTAGGTATACCCAAATCTCTAGATAGCTAATGTTTCAGCTCCACCCACATTTGGGCATTAGATGCAACCTGAATTCTACTCACCCTACAGTGTTGAATCATCAGAAGCTGGCTTGAGTGCTCACTGGAGTCAGTTCAACAAACAAACCTCAGTGGGTTCACGGGCACATAAAGTTGGGCAGCAGATACAGAGTGACTTGGTGACAGATTTGCTCCTCACCAGGGCGAAGGTCACTGGTGTCGCTGTCTGCCATTTCAACGTTGAAACTCCAGGAAGAATATGCCCTCATTCTGTTTCATGGCTCTGTACCTCTGTACCTCCTCCATTCCTCCTGGCTAGTCTCCTCACCAGCCTGCTCTTCCTTTTCTTCGTAGCTCACCCAGCTCTGCCTTTACACTGTAGCTGCCACAGAAGAGCTATCTCTTTGGGTGCTCTACAAAGATAATATCAAAGATAGATAGAGATCGAATCTCTATCTAAATAGGGATAGCATCTCTATCTAGTACATATATTAGACAGATCTCTTGATTTTCCATTTACTGTAGTTATTTGTGTCTTTCTTTCCAGCCTTGAAAACTGAAATGTGCTTGGTTATTTTTGTGTCATTTCTCTAGCACAGTTCTTGGCACAGGTTGTGACACATAGTAGGTACTCAAGCCTGTCTGTTGGACAAACAGATGGCTGAATATATTGGCAGATGGATGGATAGATTGGCGGATGGCACTTCTGGTGGGATCTGTCAACAGGCTCAGTTATCAATATTAACTCCACCCCTACGTGTACCAGACAGTGTGATAAGGCTAAAAAATAACCATGGGCAATAAAACAAAAAGTCAACTTGAAAAATATAAATAGTTCACTTCAGCCCAATTTTGTTACTTTGAAGACTGGTTGGTAATGAAGAAGTTAACCCAAATCCAGCTCTCTTGTCTTCTTTAAAGTCTCAGCAGGGGAATGTGAAAAGGATTACTCCTTGTTGAGACTCTCTGGACTTTGTCCATTTAGCTCATGAAACATCAGCCAACACGCATCAAAGGAAAGAAAAAACAGGAAAGAAAAGAAAAGAAACAGTTCCAGTTGTCTGGGATTATAGCCAGAAACAAAAATGTGGCAGTTGTCCTCAAATGCAGAGAAACTTCTTACTTCTTCTTCTTGTGGCAGCAAATCTGAGTCCATCATTTCTGTGAAACCTTTTGTGGCTTGCCATGGCCTTCTCAACAAGACCGAGACCCTGTGAGGCGCTATACAAAGCCTCTTGTGATCAACTTTTCGGATGTCTCCAGACCGGCCCTCTGCTGGTCAGCTAGCCCGTGTCACTCCTGGCTCACTTCCCTTTAATTAAGATGACTCCTCTGCTCAGAATGTTTCCCTTAGAGCTGCCACTCTTCAGGATTCCCTGGGAGCCTTCCCTGAGTCCCACAGGTTGCATTCGAGACCCTTCCTCAGTGTTCTCACAACTTCTGGCACTTACTGTCCATCCCTGAGCAAGTGACCTTCTGCCTGCCATCCTTGTTTATCTGCTTATGCAACTGGATTGTAACAATGTGATACAAGCTTGGAAAGGATGTTTTCTATTTCTGTGACTATAGGACTCATCATCAAGCCAGATATGTAATAGCTATTCAGTAAATCATTTTGAAACCATAAATTATCTTACTAGGAAATACATGGAGATGATACCTCAAAAAATAAATAGAACAATGATTGCTCTTTGTTCCAGAAGAGCATTTTTGTTTTAAACAAATGGTATTTTTATTAAAACATAAGACGTATTTGGGGAAAGTTTGGGAAATACAAAGATTTGTCAGTGAAATTTTAAAACTACCTGTATCCTTCTACTTATTCAAGCCCCATTGTACCCTTCTTTGTTTAACTTCAAATAAAGACCATTTTCCCATGTCATTAACTTGTCTTCAAAAGCCTAATTTTAAATGACCCAGTAGTGCATTGAATAGGATATCCAATACTACACCTTTGCCTTTTCCCCAGTTTCTTCACCATGTTCCCAGACATGTGATTCTCACCGCCCCTCCCCCCACCCCCCATTAGTCCAGCTAGTATTTCTCTTTGGAATTTTTTTGTAATTTAGTCCTCCTAATTTTTTGGAACTCCTTAGCTACTTTTGGTGTTAAAGGAATCACCCCTCCCCTGATTGCAGATGTTCTACTGGGGGGGGGGGTGAGGTCTTTGATTGCTTCAATATACCATTATTTATTTGTTGAGCACCTGCTAACTGATATGTTTTCTTTGGAGTCTGTAACAGCGCCATCTATTCCCCAAGATCAGGGGTGATGAGGCCCCCCACCACCCAGATCCCGGAAGATGGACTTGTCTTTGTTTCCCCAGTTGAGTCCAGTGTGCCTCTCCATCTGGATCCAGTCTGAGTGCAGCAAAGGTTGAGGAGCGGGAGAGAGAATATTGTATGGCAGCTGTGTCACCTGTGATGAAAATATGTAGGCAGACGTGACTGCTTGGATATACGGCAGAAACGAAAGTCATCCTTGATTCGTCTCTCTTCTTCACCTTCCCATCGAGCCCATCACCAGCTATACTTTATCCTACTCTTGTCAGTTCCTAAGCCTCCATTTTCTCCTTCTCCTCCTCTTGTGCAGTCTTGACAGGGCCAAATCAGTATCACCCCTCCCCTGAATGTGGAGCTCTCTAACCAGCTCCCATAAGTCCTCTCTGGCTCCCCCCGTGCCCATTCCGTATACTGCCTTTACGTCATTTATGCAACAACAATCTGATTATACCATCTCCTTGATGAAAACCTTCAAAATCTTTGTATTGTTCAAAAACAAAAACAAAACTCCTTAGTATGGTCTAAAAAGCTTTGCACCCCTTCTCCGCCACACTGCACCCCCCATTCCTCACTCTGCTTCAGCCTTACTGATTTGCATTCTGTCCCCATATGTACTACCACAGGACCTTTGCACATGCTACCCTTTGCCAGCAGCAAGCTTATGTCCTGTCTGATCTAGTTAGTGCTGATACATTCTTCAGATCAAGCTCTACTTCCTCACAGGAGCCTACCCGGCCCCACTCCCACTCCCACTCAGCATGCCCACCTTTCTTTCATAAGCACTGGTCATAGATCCATGGTTAACCGCTGGACACCTGTTCTGACTCTTAGGCTACAGGCTCCATGAGGGCAAAGGCCACATCTGTTTCCTTATTATCCCCAACAGGCAGAGTCCTGGCATGTCAATAATGCTGATTTAGTTGAATGAGTCATTAATGGATGGGATATCATTTCTTTGAAGCTGTGTACTATGTGGCTTGTGAGCAAGCAGTTTCCTTTAGGGAAGCTTGTTGAAACCTAATGGAACATGCCATAAGGTCCCCCTGCAAGATCTTTTTAACTAGGACATAAGCTTGCTGCTGGCAAAGGGTAACATGTGCAAAGGTCCTGCAGTAATACATATGGGGGATAGGATGCAAATCAGTAAGGCTGAAGCAGACCCAGATGGGGGAATGTGGGGTGCAGTGTGGCTGAGAAGGGGTGCAAAGCTTTTTAGCTCATACTAAGGAGTTTTGTTTTTGTTTTTGAGCATATACAAAGATTTTGAAGATTTTCGTCAAGAGATAGTATAATCAGACTGCTGTTGCATAAACAACAGGGCAGGACAAAGAGGTTTCAGGATCACGTGCTAATGTAGTCATTTACTAATGCCACAGAGAATTGGGGAGCACAGTGCAGCTCAGGGAGAAACATGCATGGTCAAGTAGCAGTGTCTGCATGGGTTGCTCCTGCAGAGAAGGCTGCCTGTGACAAGTGACAGCATCGCAAGGTCATGCTGCTGCAGTTCACACGGACTGTGGCATCCTCTCATCTGTTAGCTACCTCCTTAACTCTTCCCTAAATATTTGTCTTTCTTCCTTCATCTCTCTAGATTTATGGTCAATGTGACATGGAATGGCAAAGATCTGTCCTTCACCGAGGAAGGCTATCAAGTCCACCCCCGGCTGGTGGTGATCGTGCTGAACAAGGACCGAGAATGGGAGAAGGTAAGCCACACTGTGTGTGCGCTGAGTGCGTGGCGGGAGAGGGGTGGCAGCCAGTTACTCTCTTTCCCCAAACATGGCCCCTGGAGCTGCTCCCGACCCCACCCTGGTCCAGGGAAGACTGTTCTCAGGGGGGCAGGCCAACGTAAGGCACCCTTGGAAGACGTGTGAGTGATCGGTGCTAATTACATACTGTTCTCTGCATCGGGATCTCAGGTCTCAGGAGGCAGGGCCGTGGAGGGCTTTGGAAAATTTACAGCCAGCGAAGTGGGTTTAGTTCTGTGCTGTAGCAAACCTTCATTATGCAGCAGGGATCACAGAAGTTTGCCTAAAACTCATAATTATGTGCCATCGTCACAATTTAGCCATAAGGATAAACCCTTCTATCTTCACTTACTTAAATGTTAATGTGAATCAGACAACTTCCTGAACTCAAGTGTATCACCTCTGTGAATCAGAGTGGGTAGAGAGGTTCTAATATGTGTATATATACATGTCTGTGTGTATGTGTGTTGTGTATACACATATGTGTGTGTATAATGTGTGTGTATATATATACTGTGTGTATATATAATGTGTGTATATATATATTTATATATATATACATGTGCACACACATATATGTATATATACTTTTAATTTTTCTGTGTAGAAGAACTGGGGTGTAGGACAGAAGTGTGGGTAGAAGGGTGAAAGAATTCACCTGAGAGTCGGGAGCAGAACAGATAGATCTATTGATATACATTATTGAGGGGTGTAATGGGTGAGACAGAAGTCTACTGCGCCATGTGGGTCACCTCCCTGGCTGGGGGTCGAACTCAGGCCCAAGCATTGATAGCTCTGAGACTTTAACCTCTAGGCCACCAGGGAGAACCCAGTTCTATTTATTATAATGTACATTTTCCAGTACAGGAACATTCGCCATTAAAAACTATAACAAATCAACGTGCAAGAAAATTTCGTCTCATGTACCACACAAGCCATGTGCTGGGTCAGCAGGGAGACACCACAGGTGACTTCAGATGGCCCCTTGCTTACAGTGACACTATCTGCCCCAGTTGTATTTTCAAGTCCCCCAAAATCCAATTTTCAAAGTAGTTGCACAATATCACAGAAAAAATAAAACAAAAGAAACCAAAAGGAAGTCTGTATTGTTATCTTTTTTGACAAGCAATATATAGCCTCTAAACTCCTTCAGCAGCTTGAGATTTCTCTTTGTTTTGCACATCAGATGAAGTCTGAGAGACCCTAGGGGCAGGAAGATATGGAATGGAGTGTGAGAACCACACTATGCTAACTAGATCAGAAGGAAATAGTATGCAAACAGAATCATTAATTCTGGAGGGTCAGTGACATTTCTAAAAGGAAATTGTGAGAGGAAGTTTTTCATGCTACATCTCACATCTAAGAGCTATAGAATATACATTCCTCCAAGTACCAATGGATGATTCACCAAAGTAGATATATTCTGGATCATAAAGCAAGTTCCAATATACTTACAAGAACTGAAATAACTCAGAATGCTTTCTTTGACCACAGCAACATTAAAATAAAAATGCATGACAAAAGTACATCCAGGAAGTCCCAGATGTTTGGAAATTAAATAACATGCTCCTCAATAACCGACAGCTCAAGACGAAATCAGAAAGAAAAAGTATTTTGAATGGACTGGCACTGAAAGCATATACATCAAAATCGAAGCTATGTTAAGAAGGAAGTTTAGAGCTTTAAATGATTATAATAAAGGAAAATAAGGGGATGTAAAGTCAGTTATTGAAGCTTCTACTTTAAGAAGCTAGAAAAGGATGAGGAAAGTGAAATCTAATGGCGAAGGAGAAAGAAAATAGCAAGTGAGTAAAACCAGCAAAGTTGAACAAACTGCATAGAAAACTCACAAAGTCAAAATCTCATTCTTTGAAAGATTAATAAAATTCATAGTTCCTAACAACAATGGTCACATAAAAGAGAAAAAGTATAAAGTCTAGTAACCACACTAAAAATGCAAAGAGGAGATCACCAAAGACATTGCAGAGTCTATAAATATTCAGATAATTAAGAAACTATGAAAAATTGATGCCTGTAAATATGGCAATGTAGCTTAAATGGGTGGTTTTATTGCAAAGCCACCATTCTCCAAAACTGACACAAAAAACTAGACAACCTGAATAAGTTTGCTAAGAAAATCATTTATAACTAAAAACCTTCCTATTTAAAAAACAAGAAAAACTCCTCACCTGGATGAAGTTGCTATAATTCCACTAAACATTAAAAATGAAATAACCTCATCTAACACAGAATTTTTCAATGTTTTGGCAGTCATAACTTATCGCTATATTTTAAAAAGATAATTCATCATGAATAAGTGGGGCTTTTCCTGGAAATGTAAATTGCGAATCAATACAATTTGACATGTCAACATAATAAAGGAGAAAATCACCTGGTCATCCCAAAAGATGCAGAAAAACAATTGAAAAATCCCATCTCCATTCACAAGAGGATATTTCACAATCAAATATTATCTAAGAAAATGCTACAACTAACATTTTGCTTAATGATGAAATAATAAAAATAGATCCACAAATATATCAATGATTTTTAATGAATGCTTAGGACAGTGAGGGAGAAGAAGATGGTGCTAGATCAACTGGATGTCCACATATATAAGCAGTATGTGTGTGCATGTGAGCATGTATATTACATGAGCATTTCCTTGACCCATGGTTCAAGTGTTCACACAAATAACTTGAAAGAAATGGTAAGCCTAAATCTAAAAGCAAAAATTACAAATTTGTTAAGAGAAAATATAGGAGGCTGTTTTTGCAATCTGAAAAAGCAGAATGCAAAGCAGTAAAAATAATAAATTCAGGCAAAGTACAAACTTATATTTTATGGCATACATATATACATTTTATATAATTGTGCCAGAAAATGTATATATATAACACATATACATTATATATAGTATAATGTAAGATGCATTTTATAGAATATGTAATACATTTCAAACAAATGTACATAATACATTATATATCATTGTTATATAATGCATTTTTTACTGTATGAACACTATATTTATCATGTCATGATATATAAGCATCATATATATATTACAAAACATATTAAAAATACATAAAGAACTGTAAATCAATAATTAAAAGAAGACAACACAATTAAGGGGGAGAAATTGACATTTCATAAAATACATTACTCAAATAGCAAATAAGTATGTGAAAACATATTAAACTTTGTTGTTCATCAGGGAAATGTAAATTAGAATCATGATGAGGTACCACTTCACACCCACTGAATGGTTAAAGCTTAAGAGATTGACAGTACCAAGTGTTGGTAAAGAAGTAGGGCCACTGAATCTCTTAAATGTTGCTCGTAGAAATGTACAGTTGCAATTACTGTGGAAAACTGGCAGTTTATACTGTTAAATATACATGAACCTTATCATCCAGCAACATTATACCTAGGTATTTACTGCAAACAAGTGTAAACATATACCCCCAAAGCAATATTTATATGAGTGTCCATTGCAACTTTATTCATATTAGCAAAACATCAAATAACTCAGATGTGGATAAATATGTGGCATATTCATAAAAAGGAATATTATTACTTATTACTTATTACTAGGAATGAACCAGTGATATCACAACAATGTTGGGGAATTTCAAGCATTATGTTGAACAAAAGAAGCCAGACACAAAAGATCGTACTATATGATTCCATTTATGTAAAGCTCAAGGAAAGGCAAAATGTGGGATTAGAGCTCAGAGTTATGATTGCTTTTGTGGAGGGTAATTAACAGCAATGAGGAACTTTCTAGAGTTATGGGGATGTCCGCTATTTTGAACAGTTGTCACCAAACTATCACATGATCTGCTCATTTTATTGCATATCATTATGCCCTAGTTAAAGATTTGTTTCAACTCTCTCAAACTGGGGTACCCAGTACAGTCAACAACTAGTGTTTACTGAGCTTTCACACTTAACGCCCAGCATGGAGACTAATTATAACGATGCCATTGTTCTTGAACACCTGCTACCTCTTTCCTATAGCTGGTTCACCCAAGCACAGACAGCCAACTTCTTCGATTCTTTTGCCGAACACATATTTATTCAGGGATGGTTATGTGCTATGGCACTATTTTCAGACATCTGAGGCTTTGAACATGTGCTCTTTTTTTTTCCTTGTATTTTATCCTGTCATTCTTCTGTGTCCTCTCACCTCCTTTACTGGTTTATCTTCCCTTTTTACAAATACAAGGCCAGAATGCAGGATTGATAGCTGATTCTGTAGCTACAGATGTAGCTTAGATGTCAATGGAGGTAGATACGGAATGAATGTAGATACAGGTATAGACAGAGGCTGATACAGATATGGGCACAGACGTAGATAAATGTAGCCATAGAGGTACATGCAACTGTGACATAGATTCAGAGAGACAACGACAAATGTAGGTGTCGACATAACCCAGGGAGAGCTAGAGATACCACATATTATCATTACCAGGCAGCAGATAACTTAGGACTTTATACCTTAGGTTGTCGAGTTTAGGGGGCTCATTTTCCACTTTCTGCAGTTACGTGAACTGAAGATCACTTTCGGAGAAAAAGCCACTTTCCTTGGCTGGCTCTAACCCATCCTGAGTCAAGACTGGTTCACCTGTGAATCTCTGAGTTGCCTTTAGACCCAGCTCACTTGCTAGAGAGGCCACTGCAGGGCAGGCATCAACATTGCAGAAAAGAACGCTTACCCTTGATAGACTCCATTTCCAGATACCCCCCAAATTGTCTGTTTACTATTTTGTGTGTCCTGCTTCAAATTTCTGTTGAAATACAGCAATTTCCCAAAAAAAAAAAAAAAAAGCAGCCTGGGGAATTGTTGCTGAATTGAGCTTAGAATGTACAAATGCTTCCTGTAGTTGGTCTATTCTCTCGGCTCTTAAGGGGTCCCAGGCTGCATAAATAAATGCTCCTGCTTCCGTCTCAAAGAA